TCACTGTATAGATGACTTATTTACAGGAAAACATTAAAAATGCATATTTTGAAAATTCAAACATTATAATACTGTATAAAATTAAAAAATCACTTCTTTCTCAACCTTTCTTAAGAAGATACTTGTTGTTAGCAGTTTCTCATAATTTTTTCCATTAAAAATGATCTTATACCTATATACGCTTATACTTTCTAATTTATACTGTGCTCATATTCACAGACAGAAATAGTATAAACATGGTTATATAATTTGCACATTTATATGTAATGTACCTTGACTGTCTTTCCACAGGAGCAGTTACGAATGAAATCAGATGGTCTAGTCAAATTGGATGTGGGTTCCCTCATCACAGCAGATACACAGGAAACCCTGCCGAAAAATAGTCCTTTCATAGGGAAGGTCAAAGGTGCTGACAGTGTGAGAAGATGAAACAAAGGTGGTAACATTGAGAGTTCACAATTGAGCATGTGGCCAAGGTCTGGGAAGCAGTAATTCAGAATCCCCTAGGGTTGTGACCAGTCATGTTTTCCAAACTAGACCTAAGGAAGGATACAGAACTAAGGTACATCATTCCTTACTGTTTCAGCAATTCCCAGAACCATAACTGGTATAGAACATCTCCCTCTCCCACCGCCATTCTAGATTTTTCTCACCCTTGGCCAGCACTTTAGCCAGTTTGGGTTGTTTGCCTTGTGGGGTGAGTGAAAATTTTATCAGAGTTTGATTCCAGTTGCCTTGTTCTTATTGGGCTATATTTGCAGCAATTGTCCAGTTATAGCTATCATTGGGTGTGCAAGTGCTAAGCCATATTCCACTAATTCTCTGTGTTCTGGATATTGTCATCTCTCTATAGTAGCAGCCTAGCTACTCACAATAATCAGTATCAAGTACCCCAGCCAGAAGAGTAACTTTTTTCTGCCTGCTCTTTCACTTGTATAAGGAGCACAGAATTGTGGTTCCTACTATTTCCCTGGCAGGTTATTTTTCTCTCCAAAAACCAAGAACTCCATCCTGGTGAAACTGAAGATTCTACAAATGAGCTCCTGGGAGGGTTAACAATAGAGAACATTCTACTTCCCCCCCTTAGGTCTCACATGATATATGTCAGGCAAGTGGGGACCTCACATCCTATATCACGCATTGGTTCAGTGTACAATGCATGTACTGACTCTGAAGTGCAGCCTCTCAACTCCTCACAGAGCTGACTTCTACCTAATCCCTTAATTGGGCTGTGAACAGGCCTTTCCCCTCTTCTATCAGATGGATACTTATGGGTGGTAAGTTACTTGGTACAATTAGTTCTCAATTCTGGGATCATGAGAATATTTCCACATCATCTTTGCTCACAAATATGTACAATGTCCTTGGAAATGTTTAAGAGATATCATATCAATATTTCATTCAGTCTGCAAACCATCGAATGTTGGTACAGGCACTGTGGACATGGAAGACAAACCTATACCTAAAGTGTGTATCATTTCTCGTGAGAATGATTTGCTGCCACCTTCATGGTAGAACAGGTCTGATATGATTAACCAGGTGTCAGGTGTATGACTGTTCTCCCAGGGACTGATGTCATGTTGAGGGTGCAGACAAGGAATCTCCTACTGGCAGGTTGGACATCTAGAAGTTCCAGAGGCAGGTAAGGAGACCGCATCACTGAGCCCTTGCATAGCTTATATTCTTGCCGCTATAGACACTGTTCATGTACCTATTATGCCATTACTGGAATATCTTTAGGCTAAGTCATAGCAGAACATAGTTCATGCTGATCATCTGAAAATGTAAAGCCTACTCTCTTATAGATGCTAACTAGTTAGTACTCACTTTAATAGGTCTATTCACATAACTATTTCCAGGCAACTTTGTCCAGGTTTTTTACCCTACAGACACTTGATCAACAACCCATAAGTTAATCACTGCCCTTGAGTCAATGTATGTCCATAATCCAGGACTCCTTTTCTGCTATATAAAGTGGAAAACAAGAGTATCATTCAGGAATTTGTCCACTAGCATAAATTCCCTATATTACTTAACTTTGAGACCACCTTTGAATCAGGTCATGACGGGCG